CGCTCTCTCCTCCTTTTTCATCACACCGTCTTCAATGCTGCCCTCCGTTCTATTCCTCGCTCTTCCTCTCGGGGCCCACGGAAGTGCGTTCCCTGGTGGAATACAGACTGTGCTCGGGCTGTCGGCCATAAGCGTGCAGCCTGGAAGAGAGACCGCCGCCGGCAGACGGCCGATTCTTCTCTTTTATTTTGAAAAGTGAGTGCGGTGGCCCATAGGGTCATCCGTATGGCTGAACGTAATTGTCGGACATCCTATGTCTCCACCATTATGTCCGAAACTCCTCTGCCCCAGATCTGAAAGCGTATCCGCAAGATGGAGGGTAAGTTTGTTCCTGATGTCTCCCCGGTCCTTCACCTCCGTGATACTCTTATGGCGGACCCGTTGCAGATCGCTACCGAACTGGGTTCGCACTTTTCTTCTGTTAGCTCTGGTTTTCATCTTCCCCAATCTTTCCTTCTTCGTAAATCTGTCCTTAATTCTTGTCCTTTGGATTTCTGTACTCATCTTCACCTTCCCTTATAACAATCCCTTCTCTCTCTCTGAACTTCGGTCTGCCCTGGCCCTCTGCGGTTCTATGGCGGCGGGCTCCGATGGCATTCATTATGAGATGCTCCATCATCTCCCTTCGTGCACGTCTTAGTATTTACTGAGTCTGTATAATCGGATCTGGGAGTATTTACTGAGTCTGTATAAATGGATCTGGGAGTGTTATATAATTATATAACACATAATTATAACACGTGTATAATTATGTGTTATATAATTATACACATGACGAGGAACACAGAATTTCCGTGTTCCTCGAGACGGTTCCTTGATGCCGTCTCGAGGAACAGGCTCGAGACGGCATCGAGCCAGTCCCTGAGGACTCGCTCGATGCCGTTGTCCTCCCTGTTCGCAAACCAGGGTCTCCGGGAACATCCCCTAAGGACTTTTGCCCTATTGCCCTCACAAGTTGTGTCTGCAAACTCTTTGAACATATGGTTAACGTTCGTCTGATGTGGTTCTTGGAACACCATCACCACCTCTCCCCTTCTCAATTTGGTTTCCGCAAGTGCCGCAGCACGACAGATGTCCTGGTGAACTTGGAGGTCTATATTCGTACTGCTTTTGCTGCGAAGACCTCCGTTGTTGCCAATTTTTTGACCTGGAAAAGGCTTACAACACCACTTGGTGATATCATATTCTATCCCAGCTTCAATCTTTTGGCCTTCGTGGTCATCTCCCTCTCTTTCTCCGCAGCTTCCTCTCTCGTCGTTCCTTTCGGCTGAGGCTTGGTACCGCTCTCTCTGCTTCTTTTCAGCAATACGGTGTGCCCCAGGGTAGTGTTCTGAGCTTGCTCAGAATGCTCTCTATGTTGATGATCTTACCCTTTGCTGTCAGGGTGGTGATTCACTTCTTCAATGCCGGCTTCAACTTGCGATTGATGCTGTGTTGTCTTGGGCCACCGATCATGGCTTCAAGTTCTCTACCACTAAGACTTGTGCCATGACTTTTACTCAGAAACGGGTCGTTCTTCGTCCCTTTTTGTCACTTTATGGTCATCCCCTTGAGTGCAAAGATTCCGCAAAGCTTTTAGGGCTATTCCTTGACACTCGTTTGTCTTGGTCTCCCCATATCTCTTACCTCAGTGTTGAGTGCTCTAAGGCCCTTACCCACCTTTGGGTATTGTCTCATACTTCTTGGGGAGTGGATAGACGCACTCTCCTCGCCTTAGATTCCTCTCTCGTCCTGTCTAAGCTCGATTATGGTTGCCCTGCTTACTCGTCTGCTTCTCCTTCTACTCTTCGCCGTCTTGATGCTTTGCACCATACTGGGTTGTGCCTCAGTTCTGGTGCCTTTCATTCAACTCCAGTCCTTAGCTTGTATGTTGACACTGTCTTCCTATCTTTCCGGGACCACCGTGATCTCTACTGTCTTCGCTATCTTGCGAGGTCCTTGGAACATCCTTCCTCTCGCCTCTGTTGTGCTTTACCTTTTACCCCTCCTGTGGTTCCTGTTCCTCTTCACCACCTCCCTCTTTCTGTCCGGTTATCTCGCTTACAGGATTCTCTTTCCGTTCATATTTCAAGTATTTCTCCTCGTGTTGTTCCTTCTGTGCCCCTGTGGAGAGTCCCCCATCCGTAGTTTTGTACTTCCTTGACCCGCATCACTAAAGCTTTTACCCCTCTTGCTGTTCTAAAACACCTTTTCCTTGAGCACTTTTCTTCTCACTCCCGCTCCGTTTCCGTCTTCACTGATGGGTCTAAGTCTGTGGACGGAGTTGGCTACTCTGTTGTTTTCCTGATTGCACTTATATGTGTCGCTTACCTCTGGAGACTAGCATCTTTACAGCGGAGCTTTATGCTATTCTCTATGCTCTTCGTCTCTTGCTTTCTCGTTGTCAATCTTCCTTTGTAGTTGTTGACTCTTAGTGCCCTCATGGCTCTCGGGTCCTTTAACCCTTAAACTGCGCATGGCGTATATATACGCCCTGAGTAACATGTCCCATGGTGCGCATGGCGTATATATACGCCATAGGGTGCCAGGACTGATTCAAATGGCCCGCGGCTACACGGGGTTCACAGTAGCTTCCTCAGGGCTCTTGTAAACAGATGCCATTTTGAAAAAAAATCGTGGGCAATATTCTCAGGTGTGAGAGGCACAGTACTGTTGGAGCAACCAAGGCCGGCGCACGCAGCATGAGCGAACAGCATTGATGTTCAGCTTGTGACCACAGCATCGCCGAAAAATGTCAAAATAAATATATAATTGTTATTATTTAGCGATGACAATATTACAGATGACCAATGACTGTGATATAAATAACCAGGGTTGTGATAATAGCAGGATTGTTGTAATAATTAGCGCTGTGGGAGGAGTGATGCTGAGAGACGGAGGGAGACAGCATCGTTTACTAACTGTGTGGCCACCTGTTATTGTTTGCATTCACCATACCAGGTCAGTGGTTCTCTATGGTGAACACGAATGTAGATACTTATATATAATGTGTGTATTAGTGTAATAACAGCAAAAGGATTATGCTGGGAGGAGCCATATGGGTGACGGAGGTGACGTCGTCTGCACGATTTGTCTAGCTGTTTAGAGGGTGGCCACTATGCTCTTTGGGCGCACTACAAGCTTAGGTGTACAGTTACGGTGCATAAAACATGTAGATATTTATATATAATATGTGTATATAGGGTAATAACACTGCAAAAGGTATTGTTGGGGGAGAAAGTTTAGTGCGTGTGACCTTGAAAGAGTGAGGGAGCCGCCAGCCGCCATCTGTGTATAGCGACGACTCTTAGTGCCTGAACTAACTATATCAGCTTAGCTGTACAGTTGTGGTGAACAAAATATATACATACTTATATATAACGTCTGTATATAGTGTAATAACACCACAACTGGTATTGTTGGGGATGAAAGTTTAGTGCGTGTGACCTTGAATGAGTGAGGGAGCCGCCAGCCGCCATCTGTGTATAGCGACGACTCTTAGTGCCTGAACTAACTATATCAGCTTAGCTGTACAGTTGTGGTAAACAAAATATACACATACTTATATATAACGTCTGTATATAGTGTAATAACACCACAAATGGTATTGTTGGGGGAGAAAGTTTAGTGCGTGTGTTGAGGGAGTGGCAGCGAGTGGCTGGCTGGTGTGTGGCGGTAACTCCTCGTTGCTTTTCGACTCTCAATACCAACTTAGTGGTTCGTTATGGTGACCAAAACATGCCAATACTTATATATAACCTGTGTATAGAGTGTAATAGCAGCAAAACTATTTGTTCATTGTTTTATAAACATAATAATTGAATCACTAATATGCACATCATACTTTTGAGTATAGCGATTATTAACCACTTTTATTATATAAATATATTACAATACACACTATTGAATAATATTACTGCAAAAAAACTAAGAAAAAATCAATCGAAGACATTGAAACAATTAGGTAATAATATCTTTGTGGCAACTCCCATCTGTCAACGCGGGTGACGCTGACCGGGTCTGACGACCGCTCTGTCAACGCCCACTTTTTGCCAGACTTCCTCGGTCAATTGCGCCCAAAATATGTCACCTACGATTTTTTTTTTATTTTTTTCCGTGCTCAGGGGACACAAATTAACATGTTTAGAAGACGAAAAAAAAATTTTGAATTTTTTTTTTTCTTGCGCACAGGGGTGTAAATGTCACAAGGACCCCTGAGCAGTGTAAGGGTTAATCCGGTTCATCCAGTGGTTGTCGAGATCCAGCATTGGCTGTTTCTTGTTCACAGTAAATTTAAGTTGGTTGAGTTTTGTTGGGTTCCCAGCTATATTAGTGTCTCTTTAAATGAGCGTGCGGATGCTGTTGCCAGGGAAGCTGTCTGCTCTTGTCCCATCTCTCGTAAAGGTATTCCTTATTCCGACTTTTACCCGGTTATCCATTCCTCCATCCTTACCCATTATCAGGCTTGTTGGTCATCTGTTCCTGGTAACAAACTACGTTCTCTTAAAGGTTGTGTGTCCTCGTGGCCGTCCTCCTACCACCGTAACCGGCGATGGGAAACGGCTCTGGTGAGGTTGCGTATTGGCCATACTCGCTTAACTCATGGTCACTTGATGGAGAGTTGCCCTGCTCCTTTCTGTCCTAATTGCATTGTCCCTCTTACAGTCGTGCATATCCTTGTTGAATGTCCTGACTTCCGGGACGAGCGTGTGTCTTGTTTTCCGACCATCCCCCGTGGTCGTTTGTCTCGATAGTATTCTTGGTGACTCGGATACTTTTGATATCGTTCGCCTTATGCGTTTCTGTTCTCATATTGGCATCCTTGGTGATATTTAGTGCTCTCTGATTATCCCACATATTTGATGGCGCTACATAGTCTTCCCGGTTTGGTGCCTTCTTTTGATAATTACTTACTTACTTTTTCTTGTAGGTACAGACTTTCTGTATGAGATATATGTATTGCTGTGTATTTGTGAACAATGATATTAACATTGCTTCCTGTTTCTACCTGCATGTTCCAGCTGGCGCTGAAGACAAGATTGGCTGGGCATTTGGTTTAGGGCTAGAACGATGGGCCATGAAACTATATGGCATTCCAGACATCAGACTTTTTTGGTCCACAGACTCAGGTTTTCTCTCCCAGTTTCATTTTGATGATCCAACAACAAATGTCAAGTATAAAGTAAGTTGTTTTAAATTGCGGAATGTTTTGTGTTTGGTACAGTAATTGTTTTTATTTTAAACAATATTAAATCTTGTATGCAACAAATGGTAATTCTCATTAATAACTGAAGAGTGACTAAGTAATAGACAGTTGACAGTTGATGAATATTAGAGTCAGATTCTATATATCTCTCAATATCTTTGATGACTTGTGCCTCTGAGAACATATATGCCCTTATTGGGGCAGCAGCATGCTTCTGCTGCCAAGGAATTTCTCATACCTAAAGGTTTTTTTATGATTTTAAGGAGCATCTTTGACATATGTCAAAGAATTCTCTCTCTTTTCCATAGTGAATGTTTCACTGACAGATTTACCATTCTTTCTGGGCAGAGCCCCTTCAGCTCCCCAGAGTTATCTAGGCTGATATGTATATCATTAGACTTTGACATCAGTCAGTGTGTATAGAGTTCCAGGCCTACCAGGGACCACGAGCCAGAACCTGGCCCCCTCAGAGAGGCACGAGGAGCAATGGCCTATAGAAATGCACATGGATTTGGAGCATTCTATGTCTGCCATTGACCAGGCCAGGCACCCAGAATTTAGGTAAGCACCTCAAAACAAGCCCTTTTCTGGTTAAAATGACTAAAATAGACAAACGAGTTGACAGAACTCCCTAAGTGAAAACTAGCACACGAGCATGACGTCACACGAGCCGTGCCGCATGTCTACACAGCTCCCCCCTCCCCAGGAGGGGGAAGGGGAGCTCCAGACCCACCACACCGGCAATCCACCCTCCAGTTCTCGGCTGATGTGATTGTGGCATGGTCATGTGGCTCCAGCTCCCGATTCTCTCTCTTGTGTTGTGCTGTGCCTTGGGTTCAGTACTGCTCTTACGGTGGCGTGCGAGCTGGGAGTAATATTCACAGGTACTCGGGCTGCATGTGCTTAGGGTCACCTTCCCTGAGTGCCCTGCAAGTACCGCCCTTGGGGCTTGGGTTATCTTCCACAAGTAACCTTGGGGTCTACCTTTGTTGGTCTTTTGCTGCTCAGTGATTGACCACCCCAAGTGTATTGGGGGTTTTCCTCCCTTGTTTACCTTCAGGTAAGTGGTAGTTTTTGCATGGTACTGCGCATCTAGTTTTTACCTCTTACTGTGGCTGGCTCTGTTCCTCCTGGGTACATTGCCCTCTTGCGGGGTTTTTCTTTTTGTTTCTGCCTGATGGAGGGCGGGGTCTGCCTTGTTTCCCTTGCCCCCAGTTACATTAAGGTCTTGACCTCCAGTGTTCGGTGGTACCCCCTGCTTGGCCCCCATGCGTGGACATGTCCCAGAGGTTCAGTTTTAGAAGTTCGTTTGGTAGACTTGGGCGCCAGTTAGCAGTACCCTACCTGGGCTTTCCCTTAGCAATACCAGTCTAGGGGCCCTGGGAAACCCCGCAGTGGTGCACAGAATCCAATGAATGTGACCCTGGGTCCCCTCTCATCTTGTTCGAGTTTGAGGGTTGCTCTGTCCCCTTGTCTCAGGGCGACGTTCATTGTTTTAGCCTCCATCATGCTGCCTGTTTGGGTCAGTGACACCTTCGACCCGGAGTCCTGCAAGCGTTGTTGCTTGTTTGTGACTCAATTCACAAAACCAACCGATGTCATTATTCGGGTGCAGGCAGCTCAGGCATTGCATGCTAGGTATAGGTTGCTGTAACGTGCTAGGTTGGTTGCTTCCCCAGAAGCCCCAAGGCTGCCCGCTTTGCTTATAGGGACCATGGGGGGTATTGATCACTTTGGACTCGGTTCAGTCAGCACCTCCCTCGTTCATTCCCTAGCTGTGGTTTTTTCTGCCCCCCCCCCCCCCCCCCCCCCCCCAGCCCCTTGCTTCCAAACTCAAAGCGTCGGAGGGCTTTGGAGTCGGGGCAGGGTTTAGAGGTTTCTGAGACTCGGGCAGTTTCAGGGGTTGCCCCTTCCGGGGTGGCTGCAGAGGCATTCGAGTCCATTCCTCCAGCTGTGGCTCCAGGGTCTGACCAGTGAGGCCCCTGCTCTTCCTGCTTTTTTGGCCGCCCCAGCTTTTTCTTGTGAGGCCGGGGTTTTGGAGGATGACTCGCCTCCCGGGGCCTGATGTGGAGGTTCCCGGGGTTGAGGAGGAACTGACTTGGGGGTCTTGGGCCCCATTGGACGCCGCCTGGGTTTTCCAACTCTCAGAGTGGGGCTTTCCGTTACAAGGAGTGGGGTTTTCTTCCCTCCCCCACCCCCCCTTCTGCGTATGAGTTGGATTTGGGTTTGGCTCCTCCCCAGGTTCGATTCCGTATCCCTGCGGGTCCTTCGGTTCCGTCCTTCCAGAGGTTTTCGGCTTCCTGCATCTCACCTACTGAGGTGTGAGCTGCTATTGTGTCTTACCTACTGCGCGACCCGGATTATGCCTCTATAATGGATCCGTCTTTCTTCAGGTTTGGGTCTTCGTCTCCATACTGGGTTTGTTATGAGGTTCCGGAGTCTTCCTGGCTTGCGGACTGCCCATTGTTGTCGTTGGATGATGGAATCCTTTTTTGTCGTACCCACACGCTTGAGTGGTGTGAGGTGTTGATGGTGGTCCAGGTTTACCTGGGGGCGAATTTGAGCACCTTAACCCCTCAACTGCGCAACGCGCCTGCAGGCCCTTGACGGGGGTGCACAACGTGCCTCCGGATATTTATATTTTTAGCGTTCTAGTCAAAACTCCCGTGGCTACATGGGGTTCATATCAGCTTCCTCAAGGCTCTTGTAAACAGACGCCATCTTTAAAAAAAATCATGGGCCACATTCCCAGGTGTGAGAGCCTCTGTACTGAGTGAGCAACCAAGGCTGGCGCACGCAGCATGAGCTCACAGCACTGCTGTTCAGCTTGTGACCACAGCATCGCCTAATAATATCAAAATATATATATAACTTGTATTATTTAGCCATGATAGTATTATAGAAGAGAATGAGTGTGATAATGTCTGTGTACAATGTTCAAATATCAGTGATTCAATGCTGTTCACGATGTTCACAGAGCTAGCCACTGCACCACAGCATTATTTTGTCCATCTAGGATTTTTCAAACGACTTCCTAGGTTCCTTTATGTGGGGGTTTTCTATTTTGCTTTCCCCACTGCAATGTGTATGTCGCCAATGTACATGTGGCAGATGCTTCACGAAGCTGTCGGAATCAGCAGAGAAAATACAAGAGCAACAGTATAGGGCCTAGGAGCAAGGTCGAGTTAGAGTCCTTGAGGGTCTCTTCTCAGACTAGCCCCACCTGGTCCTGCTCCACGTTGATCGTTGGAATCTCCTCAATGATTTAACACTTTAAGGGACTCCCAGGGTCCTCATCACATTTATAGTTTAGTGAATATAGGCAACTCGGTGTTGACGACACCTAGAGCTGAAGGCTTGAGTAAATGGTTGGCAGTATTCAGAAGTGGTTCAACGGAAACACCGCATAAAGCGTAACAGTAGTTTATTTACTAACTTAACCACTAATACAAAGGGTGCTTGATTTACTTTAGATTGGCGTCAGAAAGGCTATGGTTGCATTAGCGAGACTCTTGACATCTGGCTAAACGATTCGGATCCACTCGTGGAGTAACACCTAACTTAACACAATTGACAGCCAATCATTAACACGGCAACCTAACTGCCAGTATGCAAAGGGATCACAAGAGTTCCAACCGGATACTCGGGTAATGATGATATGCAATAACTCACAAATACACTGTCAATGGGACAGGCAATAACATGCACAATAATAATATCACACAATACTAAATGTGTGGTGTATGTGAAGCTCACATTCACAGACGAGTGTAATGCCATGATACCACACAGATAAACACGCATACACCGTTGGGTGTCTTCACCTATAACCTGTGTCAAGTATGAGTAGGTGAGAACTGTTGTTGATCCCTCAGATCAACACAGACACAATAAACAATGACAAGATCTTGTACTTACAGATAGGGTACCTCTCTTATATACTCACTCCGTAGTGAGTATATAAGAACTCGTAGGTGGCCTGACAGCTGGTTCTGCTCATCACGACGTGAGACCATTGACAACAGGCTTTCCCACAAACCGTACTTGACATGGGGGTACTCGCAGGAGGGCGCACTGTATGTCACAGACACATGCACACACTCTGGCACCGGTGGTGAGTAAAGGTGGCGACGTCACGTATTACAGTGAGGGCGGGGGATGGCGGGCTACACGCTCAGAACAGAGTTGCGGCTGGCTGATTATATGGTACCGTGCAGGTACACTGTGGTAAAAGTCACACACAGATTACTTAGGTGGCGGCACTGCCTTAGTTCACTCTAGGTCACTCACAGACGATCTCCACTTGTCACCGGGGGTTATCTGATACCAGTCTGTTTCGCTCTGGTAATTTGTCACTACTAGGCTTCTAAACAATATATTCACAGTCGCGATTCCGGGCGAGTGTTGGTATATCGAAAAGACGCTGAGTTTAACTTGACGGTGAGGAATGGACGGTGTTCAGTCTATTGGCCGATAGACAGAACAGGACACATCCTCTGTGCAAGGGCTCCCTCACGTGAATGCTCTTGCTTGGGGCTCAGGGCATCTCGTGGGACACACACAAGGGATTACAATTTGACCAATAGCATTGCAGCAAATGAGCGGGAACCAATCATATTGATCGTTCCCTGATCAGTAGCAAAGGTGACGTCATGAACACGTCACAACCACGTCACAGTTGTTATTCTCCATCGCGCCGGTTGAGGCTGACCCCACAAGTCAGACTGTCCTGTCGCCTCGCTGGCGATTCATCTGCTCTCTCACGCTTCGCACCTCCTATGTGTACTCTCTGACCCTGTTGCAAGTATGCTTCACGTCCCTGTATCTACTTCCTGCCTGGACATACGGCGACCTCCATATTATAAATGTGTTCCTGGTTATGTGGGCATCCTGGGGACACCCAACATGACAGATCACTATCCAGGGTTAACAGAGATAGGGCTTGTGCACGAAGATCAGTGCACTGTGCACTGCAA